ATGGCTCTGCATACGAAATGTCGCTTTCATCCACTTCTCTGGCAACAATATGAGTTTCTCATTTGCCAGTGCTTGAACAACAGGGAGTCTGCAACGTTGGAACTCTTTTCGATTCCAGCTTAAGATACTCTGAAAATATGATGAACTACTCAATGTTATTTCTTCCCCACACTAAAAATCTATGTACGAACGCTTAAAAATGTTTTTTTTTGGGCTCAGGAGCACTTCTTAGCATTAAAAGGACTGCTGTTTAGTGATGGGAGCATAAATGGAAGGCACATTACAATACAGTGGTATCACCACATGTTGCCTGTGACAGTGATGGATTGGTTAATGCATATTCTGCATTATAATTTGCATGAGGAAAATCACCAATGAGCAGTGTTGGGACTAACGCGTTATTAAGTAACGCGTTACAGTAACTACGTAACTATTGTGGTAACGAGCACGGTAACTAGTTATTATGCCAAAACCGGGAACGCGTTACTCGTTACTGGGATTTAGATAGGCTCGTTATTCGTTACTTCGTGTGGTGGCTATCGCGGAGCTTCCACAGATTCAATAACATTAGCAAGTGGTGGAGGCCACATGAAGGAAAAGGGAGGCAAGAGGAGAGACCCGGAGCGGCCGCTGGTCCGAGAGTGTCAGGTGAACTGAACTTCAGGTAAGAAGTTATGACCTGCAGTCTATCTGGGTCAGATATAAACCAAGTTTAGGTGGAGTTTATTTTCGTTATGCTGACTTTTTCGTACTGCGTGCTAGCTAGCATGACGGAGTTTTTATACAGCTGGGTGGGTGCTATGATGCTACTGATGTTGAACTTTATTTTGTTCATAAGGTTAGTTATTAGAGTTGCCAACCGTCCCGTAAAAAACTGAATCGTCTCGTATTCAGAGAAAATATCACGCGTTTCATATTGAGGTGAAAAGGAACACAGTTTGTCCCGGACTTCAGCTACAATGAAAAAGACACAAAGCTGGAGTTATTCTGTGTTTACGCTGCACAGCTGCCTCTTCTTCATCTCACCCTCCCTCCCCTGTTCCTACTTCAATTGTGAAACTGATCAATGATCAGCTGATCGGCTTTTCTCTCTTGTTTGTTTATCTCCCACTTTGCGCCAGAAAGAAGAAACCAGCGGATGTCGCCCTAAACAACAGCAGCACTTTTAAGCTCGATCAGCTGTTGTTAGAATTTATTTAATATTAATTTCTAGTATCAGCTGATGTTTGTTGGAGCCACAGCTGTAAACCTGCTGGTCATGATATCGGTTTGAATATGTGGTGAGAGGGAAACATGAAGATGAAACCAGGAGACGTCCTTACTGAATTATCAGAGCTGAACAGGTGATGGAGAAACAGGTTTACCTTTTAGGTGACATGAATGAGTTGAAGGGAAGTTATGAACTGTTTCTGAGAGACAAATAACACCAGGATCCTTTTCTGTGTAGCTGACAGCTGGTAACTGTGCAGGGGCGGGTCTAGCAAAGTGTTGCCAGGGGTCCATGTAGGGCAGTAAAAGGGAAAGGGGGCACAAGGAAATACTTTCTTATTCTCATTTAAAATGTCTCACTTTTAAAAAAATAATTATCTGAATCTTACAACAAACTATTGATAAATTGATATACCATCAGAACAGTGTACATCACTGTCACAACAGTATTTATTTTCATTCAAAGGTTTTATGATTTTTCCTATAATGGTGGCCGGTCTCTAGTCAAGGCCGATTTTTTTGTCCCAGTCCAGCCCTGTATGCAGCTCATCTGCAGTCTGGTGTTACCTACATCTTCCTATTCAGAAGGCAGAATTTCCGAGTTCTGAGTACAATCAAAGCACCACGACTGCAGTTTGTGTTGGATGTAAAAAGCAGGCTAGGATAGAATCAGGTGTGGGATTTCTCTCGTGGAAATGTGCACATTATTTTTTCCTTTCTATTGGTAGGTGGCACAGTGCACTTGTGGCAAGTAATGAAGCTAGAAGACTGGCAATCTTGCTGGGTATCCATTTACGGAAGCAACACATTAACAAGAGAATTCTGAGTAAAACCAAAGTTACTTTCCCTAGTAACTAGTTACTCTGAAAGTAACGAGTAACTTAAAGTAACTGAGTTACTTTTGATAGAAGTAACTAGTAATGTAACTAAGTTACTAATTTAAAGTAACTTACCCAACACTGCCAATGAGGCATTGGATTACCTGTTTAACTGAAGAGAAAAACAAAAATGTACAGACTGAAAAAAATGTGACGCTTCTGCTAAAGAAAATTTACGAACAAAATAATAACAAAAGAAAGTTAAATTAGCGGCAGTTTTAAGGTAGAAATGTCAACCTTAAACATTCACATGGCATATAGCAGGAACTCCATGTATGCAGGAATGTAGATGATCAAGATGACCTGCTGAAGCTCAAACTGAGCATCAGAATGAGGAGGAAAGGTGATTTAAGTGATTTTGAAAGCGGCATGGTTCTGGTGCCTGTTGGGCTTGTATGAATTTTTCAGAAACTACTGGTGTTTTCCCACACAGCCATCTCTAGGGTTTGTACACAATTGTTCAAAAAAGAAAATATCTGGGCGAAAATGCCCTCGTTGATGCCAGAGTTCAGAGGAGAGTGGACAGACTGCTTCAGGCTGAGGCAACAGTACCTCAAATAACCATTCATAACAACCACTGTGTGTAGGTATGCATTTCAGAAGGCACAAAACTCTGAACCAGGGTATACAGCTGCAGAAGACCACACTGTGTGCCACTACTGTCAGCTACGCAGGCCGAGGCTACTATTCAGACTGGCTCACCAAAACTGGAAAACAGAAGACTGGAAACACGTTGCCTGGTCTGGCGAATCTCAAGCATTGATCTATCTTGCCCTGTATCATTGGTTTCAAGCTTGTGGTGGTGTAATAGTGTGAGGGACGTTTACTTTGTACACTTTGGGCCCCTTAGGGCCAAGTGAGCATCATTTGAGCACCATAGCATACCTGAATATACATCCATCCCACAGTGTACCCATCTTCTGATGGATGGTTCCAGCACAATAACGAGCCATGTCACAAAGCTCAAATCATGTCAAACCGGTTTGCTGAATATGACAGTGAGGTCACTGTACTCAGATGACCTCCACAGTCACGAGATCTCAATCCAACAGAGCACATCTGGGATGTGGTGGAACTGGAGATGTGCATCATGTCGTGCAGCGGCTGTCAGTATGGACCTAAATCTCTGAGGAATGTTTCCAGCACCTTGTTGACTCTATTTTACAAAGATTTAAGGAAGCTGCTACTGCAAGCTGTACTTAATGAAATAGACAGTGACGGTACATCAATATATACACACACAGACAAGCAGAGGTGGTAACCTACAACATAGACGAAGGAACTGTGATCAAACTGTAGTGTAGTATTGCTGGTTTGTAATCACGACCGCGGCCAGATCTGAATCCTAACGAGCAAAACATCACTGTATCATCAGCCAAATAAAGTTTTACTTTTGACTGACACAGCAATTATTTGGCCTGTCTAAGACTGTAAACGATGGGCTAAACAAACTGAAAATGTAATTTACCAGGATTGTGGGAGGTGATGACATCAGCTAGCTGATGTTCTGGGACTGGATCCTGCTTGGTGTTGTCTTCTTCCTGGAGTTTATCCACCATGGCGATTACACAGTTGAGACACTTGGCCACATTTGCCCACAGCCTGTCCTGAAAGAGCCAAATGCACAATCAGCAGTCAGATCAGTTGCGCTGATTACATCTGTGTCTTACTCACACTGTCTACCTTTGAGACTGTGAGGCAGAGCGAAAGGTTTTTATTTTATTTTTTTTTGCACAGTCCAAACTCCGAAAAGCCGAAAGGTCAAAAGGAAACGTCTGAAAGGATATTCTGAGATTACTTTTAAAGCGTTTCCATTGTTTCAAGCTTTCTCTTTCTTCTCCTGAGCTCCTGCAGTCACTGATGTATTGACACTTTTTCTCTGTGGATGTGTGTGTTGAAGGGGGGTGGGGGAATACATATTTTGGATATTTTCTTCTTAAAAATATGGGCTGAACACGTTATAATGGCGGGAGATAATTAGGCATTGGTGTGGAGAAATCACGATGAACTCCTGCTGTCAGTGTGGCAGATGCTGTCCTCACATACAAAGAAAACTAACAGCCATAGACACGTCCATGAAAAGAAGCGAGATGGCTTAAATTCACTGACAAGGATACCGCGTAATTATCTTCCGCAGTCAGTTTGTCATGATGAAATATTTAAACCCCCTTTGAGAAAAGAATCCACTTAAAAGACTAATGTTTGGTATGCATCTAATTTTGTGAGTAATTATTTGCCATAGCAGATCTCTAATACAGTAATAGTTTTTGGCTTCCCCCTGTGTGCGCTCTACTGTAAGAAGCACCAGGGAAAACATCAGTTTGTCAAAACACACTGGTTTAAAATAAAATGATAACTCAATCACAATTTTAAATGTTTCTAAATGACTTAGAAAAGCAGTCGGGCGTACCCATTCCTCCTCATCGTACTCTTTATGGTGGGGTATGGTGTCTTGGTGCTTCAGTGACAAAGGCTCTCCTCCAGCAGTTGTTTGGGTTCCTTCCACATTATTACACACCACTGTGGTCTCAGTGACCGACGTCGGTGGGCTGTGGCCTGGAAGTCCCTGAATCGGGTTCTGATTCTGGTCATTGGTCTGGTTTGTGTGGCCTTGGTGTTGGCTCTGCGCCCGAGTCGACTTCTGGTTCTTGGAAACGTAGCCTGGCTGCGCTGCATGCAGCGCTAGGAGTGCACTCTTGACCAATTCATCCTTAAGTGTGTGAACAAATTGTTCTGTCTGCAAGAAAGAAAAGAGAGACAGATAGGAGGGAAAAAAAGATAGACACTGAAAGTTACTGTTGGATAGGACAACAAATACAAATTTAAGTGCTGAAAAAGCAAAAGTGACAGAGTAAGTGAGCGGGATATAGAGAGACTGTCACGCTGCCGAGGGAGAACGGGTCGAAGAAAACACTGGTGGAGGCGAACTTGGAAGCAAGTAACTATTTTACAGAGGAAGTGAAAAGAAATAAGCAAAATGAACCCTCTCCTTCACCATAAAGGAGGTGCTCTCCATTACTGCAGCGCAGTCAGTAAGCCAAAAGAAAAGAAAAAAAAGAAAAGAAACAAAGAACAAACAATTCAATTACTCCTCCTCCAGCCTGCTGCTCTGTGGAGTACACCTCCTTTGATCTTAAATTCACCAGCTACTGTAAGTTGATGATGATCCCGGTACCAAGGAGTCTTACGCCCGCCGCCGCCGCTGCGTAAAAAATGATAAGGGCTCTCGAGAGTAATTGAGTTACCACTGCAATAAGCAATTCTATTACCACAGGAAATGCAGTCGAACAAAACACATAAGCCAAGCCCTCCATGAAAAGAAACCTACGAGGTCATTACATACATATATTTTCCACACAAACAGCCCTTTCCTGCTCCTATGCCTCTCTTCCGTTGACTGAATAGTGAGATTATTGAAAGTGACAGGAATTATAGAGACTGCTTCGTCAGCAAGGAGGTAGGTAACTATTTAAAAACGTCTTGTCCCAGAAACAGAACTGACAAAAGCTGCATGGATGAAGTGTTTCTGAACTTTCCTCAGCTCGTGACCCATTTAAAATACGGCAGTGCCAGCTTGTTGATTTGTTAAGGCGAACATCTATTATTCATTGCAGATAACATCAATGTGATCAATATGGGGACACACTGGCCATAATCAGATCACAACAGCCAAAATTTAGGGCCTTCTGATGGATATCTGGGGCCAAGACTTCCTGTTCTGTGCGGCGGTCATTAATCGTGAATGCAGACAGATTCTAAAAAGTGAATTAAAAATCTAAATGGTTGTCGGATGATAGCTGGTGCTTCCAAGATTGCACTTTGGCAAATGTGTTCTCTCCTTTGCTCCTTAATAGATACTGTCTACCTGCAAGTGAAGCCTCTTTAAATGTGATCAAACCTGGATGACAATGCAACACCACAAAGGTCCTTTGCAGTGCCAACAATCTTTATTCCTTGGCAACAGATTCTTCATAATAATATACATTTATAAAGATAATATAATACAAGTAAAAGGCATTCTCATTTTTTGCTTTTATTCCTCCGCGGGTAATTTTAAGCTACTTTTTTCTCCCTCTTGGTTTTTTTGTCACTTATATTTTGCCATGCAATCAAACCCCCATGAGTTTAAAGTCATCACACTTCACCAGTTATCTTTCTCCTTGTCCTTCTTAAGCCAATCAGTAACAACATCATGTACGGGGAGATGCAACCAAGGCCAAAATGATTCTGTTTTTTGGGGGTCAACTAACATGTTAATAGCCACTAATTATTTAATTCACATTCTCTCAAACTGATCGAGTCACTCTTCTAATGATCTTTGGTATAATAAAGTATACATAAATAATAATCATTAATAATACAGTTGTTGCTTCTGTTGATTTTTCAATACTCATCAATATGAATGAGCAGAACAAAAAAGAAAGAAGAAAAAGAAGAAGAAAAAAAACATCCATCTTAACTTGTATCAGAGGTTTCGATCATAGGGGACAGCAACACTACTCACAGGCTGTATCCCAATTCAAGGTCTGCAGCCTTAAAGTACGCAGCCTTAACGGTCCACAAGGGCCGCGTACTCAAAGACCGCTAAGGCCGGAAGTGCGAGGCTTGTGAAATGGGACGGTCTAGCCTCTGTTGTGCTGCCCAGGTTGCCTAGCAACCATGATACTAACAGCTGGAAACGTTTCATACAGCTTTGTTTGACAGAAATGAAGGAGAAAATCTTTTGTTCATTTGTTTGTTTCTACATGAGCTTTGATCATTCTCTGTAAGATTAAGGTCAGCTATTGAACGGCGTATATTTTAAAGTAAAGGCTTTAAAACCAAGTTAGTACAAACGTCACTAATGTCACATAACTTTGCCGACATGTGGCCAACAGTAATATTTTAATGTTCTTCGTTATTAAACATTTGCACATAAATAAGTGACATAATATTCAGTACTTAAAGTTTACTCTTCGGGCGCCCCTCATCCGGCGTTTTTTTTCGGCAAAATTATCCACACCCACCGCCACGCTATGCATTCTGGGAGATGTTGGGCCACGAAGTCTACACCGCCACATCCTTAAAATTCAGGGAAATGAAGGACGCATTTGAGGGCCACATTTCGAGCAGCCTTTGAATTGATACAGCCTTCGTCGCGTCGCTGTGACGTAATCGGCCTTAAAATGCGGCCTTTAAGCCTGCAGACCCTGAATTGGGATATAGCCACAGTAGAGTCTGTAATGATTATGATAATGAGATTCTTTTTTTTTTTTTAAACTGGTTTGACATTGAGCATCTCTACCAATCACCCAATTATAGTAGAGTACAACCTGTTAGTTTAACTCTACTACCATCACAGGGGGAGCTTATGATCCATCTCCTATCCCTATTTATCATTGGGTTTGACCATCAAAGTATGCTCCTTTAAAGCTGCTCCCTTATTCACCAGGGGTCACCACAGTTGTTGGATCCATGGATTTCATTTGGTCCTGACTGCCACAACATTCCCAGGAATTTGTGTCTCTTCTTGACACAGGGATCTTTCACACACTACTCAAATGTGTTAACTATACTATGTAGCCACTATTGTGTGCAACTGTTCTTCTTCTTCTTCTTTTGGCTGCTCCCTTTAGGTATCGCAAAAGCAGATCATATGCCTTGGTGTCACCCTATCCGTAACACCCTCCTCTATCACACCAACCCTCTACATGTCCTCCTTCACTACATCCACAAATCCTGTCTGTGGCAGTTCCACCTTCAACATTTGTCCAATGTGTCCACATTCCTTTGCCGCTCCAATGTATTCAATTCTAATCCTGTCCCTGATAATCAAGGAACCCAACGAAAGTCTTGAAATCTTCAACTCTGCTGCCTCCAGGTCAGCATTTGGTGAACGTTTGAGCAGAGAAGCCAAACAACAGCTAGACACAAAACACCACTGTATTTAATTCAAACCCTTAGGGTGGCTGTAGTTCAGGAGGTAGAGCAGGTCATCTACTACTTGGAAGATTAGTGGTTCGATCCCTGTCTGCCAAAGTATCCTGGGGCAAGAGACTGAACCCCAAGTTGCTCTCTGATGTGTTGGTTGAAGCATGAATGTTAGGTGTAGAAGAATTTGCTTGTATGAATGGGTGAGTGAGGGATGCTGTACAAAGTGTTTTGAGTGCTTAAGTAGAAAAGTGCTATAAAAGAACATTTATATATATATATTCATTTCCCAATTCAAATGCCTTGTATGAATCAATGTTCATACAAGGATCAAGGATGAGAGGAAGTGGTGACAGAGCGAATGTACCAATTGTATGAATTCAAATGACTTATGAATATACTTTACATGAGTCCATTTGGACATTTATGATTTTTTTCTCAGACTAACAAGAATATTTTTTTATTAAATTAAAAAAAACAAATATATTCATCCATAGGTTGGGACATAAGCATATGAAGTCTTATAAGACATTTTCAAAACACTTTTCTATATAAGAAGAAAAAAAAAGAGCCACATTTGACTAAGTATTGGAAACAATAAGGAGTAACTGGGCAATCAAAATGTAAATTTATATTCAAACTTAACTGTGCTTATCTGACCTCTGTGTTAATTCACAATCTATGCCACCCCATATTATTCATTTCTTGAGATTACAGAGGAAAGCCGTGTACTGTAAAACAATCTAGGTCATATTTGCACTTCATAACCATGAGGTCAGAGAACTCATTTTTTATTCGACTGTGCCAGTGCTCAAACAGTAACTCCCTCTGATGGTGAAATGATATTCTTATACATCCGATGCATTTTTTTTAGGATGAATGTGAATGTGAAGTGCAGTCAAAATGTTAATGATGCACTCAACTGTAAGATCAATATAGATATGTTTTCAAAGTAAAATATCACCAGCGGATCCCTATTGGGCAAAGGAGGAATGCACTGCAGCTTTAACCAAAGCAACTTTGCTCCCCCACATTCAAAACCTATTCCTTAGTGTAACTCTTCAACACCTACCCATTTTAAAGGATCTGAAATGCTCGAAATCCCTCAGGGAGACATTCTGTTTTCTTCAAAATATCTGCTGATGTGATCTTCACTGAGCAGGAGTGCAAGTCTGAAAATGTTTCTGTGCACTCCGGCAAAAAAATATAAGTTAGGTTTGATCTAAAGAAGAAGAACTGTGGGAATCTGTTCACCCAGAATGGTTTCAAATGGTTTTACCCTGAAGGATGAGCACAGTTTGGTTGTGATAAAAATAGAAATGTTTCAGTTTATGCAACTTCACTTTAAAGGTGGAAAGAGGCTGAATGAATAGAGCTGGTCAGATTCCAGCAACACTGGACTGTAAGGACATTTACCCCTGCATTCATGACCTCCACACACAGCATCATCTGACATAATCATGCATAGACGAGCAAACCTGCGGGTCTTTCCAGGTAACCGTTACAGTGCGGACATATAACTTGCCCAAGGACACAGCTGGAGGAAGGGGGGACATGTTGCAATTGCCTTTTCACTGTAATTATCATCAGAGTGAAATTATTATTGTCATCATCATCAACAGAATCATTACCACGTATAGAAAAGCAACAGCACATTGGCCATGTTCAAAACTAATCAGAAAGTGTGTGGCAAAAAGCACTGGAGTAAAATGTTGCACTGGGCCTGGACACAGGTGGTTAGAGCTATGAAGGAAAAGTCATAGGCAGTGCTTCGGTGTAAAACCTTTTCTATGGCAGTGTCCTTTTTCCCACATTCCTTTAAAGTGCAACACATGCTCTGTATTCAAGAAACTTTATATTCACAGGAGAAATAGTATATTTTGTCTAATGGACAGAAAATACATTTCATTTTCTTGAAAACAAGAGGATGTTGCCTGTAACAGGGCTGCAAGTAATGATTAGTTTTTATTGTCAAATGATTATGCCAATTATTTTGTTGCAAACTTTGCAGTATTGTTATGAGCGTGATAGTTGAACATGTTGCAATTTAAAAATGAGGCTACTGCTGCTGACGAACCAGGGTGAACAAAACACCGTTATACTGACAAAAGTAGTGGACCACAACTCTAAATCTCTGAATTTAGGTGTTTGCCACAGGTGTATAAAACCAAGCAACCAACCATATTGTTTGCCTTTACAAACATTTGTGAAACAGTGGGTCATTCTAAAGATCTCACAAAATTTGAGTGAGGTAATGTAGAAGGATGCCAACATTGCAACAAGTCACCTTGTGAAATTTCTTCACTCCTAGATATTCTACAGTCGATTGTAAATTGTTTTACTGCAAAGTGGAAGGGTTTAGGAAGCACAGCAACTCACCCACAAAGTGGCAGACGACCAAAGTTACAGATCACCGAGTGCTGAGACTCGGAGTGGGTAAAAGTCACCAACGCTCTGCTGACTCAGTAACTGCAGAGGTCCACATTTTCTCTGCCATTAACTCAGCACAAACTATGTGCTGGGTGCTTCATTGCTGTCCACGGCTGAAGAGTTTGCGTTTACATTTTTTTATTTTATTAGATTTTTTTTTTTTTTTTAGCTTTTAAGCCTTTATTGATATGGGAAAGTAGAGAGAAGACAGGAAAGCTAGAATAGAACCCAGCGGGAAAACACATGATAAATAGTCTTGGAGAGGGTTCAAACCTGGAATAGCTGTATGGGTTGGTGAGGTGAGCTATACCAGCACCCTTCAGGCAACTTTTTAACCACAACAAACATTTATTTCATAGGGCTGTGATTATATAAAACCTTCAGGTCTAAATGATTTCACACAAAAAAATTATTACAATCTCTACTTTTAAACTGTAACACCATATTTTTCTTTAGTATCTAAGACAATCCCACAGTGCTATTCCATGCAAAGTGTCTGTTTTATCCATAATCTTATCCAGTGTGATTTTGCATTAGTAGCACTTTGTGGTACTAGCTAGCTAGCTGTGACTTCTTCTAAATGTCACATTTATCATCAATACTGTGAAACCTCTTTACTTCATAAGAGATACAGGAAAATCTTTACTACTGCTTTAACTGTAGTCAAACAGCAGATAGAAAGCTACCTCATAAAATCAGGCTCATTTTCTAAAATAAGCTAAGTCAAGCTAAGCAAAGAATATGTAGTTTCATACATTATATATGGACATGACAGATGTAGTCATCATCTCATGTGGTCAAAAAAGATTATAAACCTTTTCCCAGTAATGTCAAACCATTCCTTTGAGACTTTTGAAAAAAATAAAATAAAACAATAAATAAAACAAAATGAGTCAACTTGCTTGTGCAGGTGTCAGCATGTGAAATACTCATATATTGCGTTATCTTCATGATTAAAATGCTTGGAATTTTAAGAGAGTCATGCCACATCAGCTTTTAAACACAGAGGCACATTCTCATCCTCCTGTCACCCTCAGACTCACTCACGTACATGAACAAACACAGCTTGAGATTTTAATCAGAGAAAAGCACTGCTTGTACTGACCAGGCCAGGCGTTTACTTGGCCAATGTGTGCATGTCTAATCAAGGATGAGAGGAAGTGGTGACAGAGCGAATGTACCAATTAAGCAGGCTGATTGGGCTCTATTCCACTGTGGCAAAAACAATCTCTCCCACAACAGATTGCAATCTGACAGCACCAGATGTAATTCATTAATTATACTGATAAAAACGCCTCAACTCCATAAACCTCCATGCTGCTATTCACTTTTGTTAGTTTGCCGTTTTTATGATGAGTTATGGATTTATTCCTGGGGTTGTCTGTTTAGTATATGCATGTCTCTGTGTGTATGTGTGCTTAATGGTTTCAAAGCAACTGCAGTTTTTAAAGTTATTTTTCTGAATATTGCAGCTTTTGTTTGTGGTGAGCCAACTACCAGTCAGAGATTATCAAAGCTGGTGCAAAGTAACTCTTTGGTGTTTTAACTCCTGTCGGAGGGCAGCCGTTTAATTTGGGTTTACATCAACTTATTACCACATTTAAAGATTAATATATAGGGCTCTCGTTTCTGAGGTAAAAATCATTTGGCCCATCATACCTATGCTTTGTGTACTGCAGCAGCTTGAGGTAAAGAGGAATGAAGAGATAGGTGAGATGGAAGTGAAGGCAAATGAAAGGCTTAAGTGCTGCCTCACCTTGTCAGAAAGGTGCTTGAGTGCATCCCTCAGTCCAGGGGAAGAGTGCTCATGGGCAGCCTGAAGGAGCTGGTCCACTAACCTCGTGATGAGGGGCTGGAGGAGGCTCATGATGTTGAGTACCTCCTGAGCTTTGGCTGTGTGCTCTGGGGAGTAGTAGATACACTGGTAGGCAGTGCTGAAGCTGTGACAGAGGAAAAAGAGAGAGAAAAAAAACCATCAGACGGCAGTGCCTGGCCCTGAACTGGGAATAGTTATAGCAGGTTGAAGAGGTTTGAAAGAGCCCCGGTTCAGATAAGAATAAAACTCCACTCCACACGAGTTTATCACATTGAGAATATAGCTGCTCTGGACAGAAGCTCATGTGAGAAGCTCATGTGAGAACTGTTTTGACCTGTGATGTTGATTCTCTTGATTCTCAAGCACTGATATCAAACAAGGTACAAAGACCTGCTGTATCCATGAAAAAGATTTTTGAAACAGTAACCAGCTGCAGTGTGAATTACATGTAAAGGAGCTTTCAGCTGTTCCCTTGTATCCCAAGGCGTCATCACAGCAGATGGATCTGTTTGATGGATCTGAAACCCTTCCTGATTTAACCCTCCCTTGGGCATGTCCTCTCCTAGAATTCAACCAAGGATCGTAAGGTGAAAGTGTTAACTCCCACACCACAGAGCCGCTGATTTAGAGCACCAGTATCATCAGTGGCTTTCATTCAAAAAAGCAGTTTTCACTTAACTCCAAACAATTTCAGAGGAACAGGTTGAGATAGCGTGCATTGTTGCCCTTTCTCACATGGTAGCTCACACAGGAATATGGTTTGGTGGGAGGCACGTGTGGACAGACTGCGTTGGAGGCAGTAAACCTGACATCCACCTACTCGCTTTGAATCCACTGGAGAAATACCTGGGTTATTGTAACATTCAATATTAGGGACTAACAGGAAAAATATACGATCCAACTGGCTTCAATGCTGCAGTGCATGCTGAAGAAGGCTGTTGTTGAAACCAAATAGATCTATCTGCTGCACAGGTAGTTCAAGGGTGACCTAAAGTAAGTAGTGATATCTAATTACACTGACACTTTGTTAGGTGTCTTCCAGGCGACATCAGTAAAATTAAATACATTGGCTATTCCTATTGTACAACAACTCCACTAAAGCTTAGCAGTAATCCCTTCACATCTGATCAGAAGTACATTATTCAGGGGGATCATCATCTCTATGTTGAGGTTAAATAATAAACAATTAACTGTGTTGACTATAGACATATTGTTTCGGCACACTCATTTTCCCGAGCACATTTCAGTATGTGTCGCTACTATGCAAGTGTCAGAGGGAACACTTTCCAGGTACTTAGCCTGAACTGTCAAATTGGACCTGTAGTCCAATGTCAACCCATTTTCTCTTTATGAATAATGAATCCTCTTTTCATTTCCAGGGAGCTATTTAATCGCAGACAAAAACACCTTTTGTCAGTTCTAGATTCGGGGCAAATCACTCCAATCAAACATTCTCCTCGGGTAAAGTTCCAGTGACTTTCAATGAGTTTCTGCTGACTTCCTGCCATCAAATGTAGCGTGGAGCGAGGCATTCATTTGCAACCCTCCGAGACAGTTTTGAGTGCAAACCTCTATGTAGGCCAGACCCCAGAGCCACATCCTAAGGCATAATTGACATAAGAAAGAGAGTGAAAAGAAAAGACGGAGATGAAGGGAGGGGTGCACACAAAGAGGGCAAAATATAATACAAAATTCTCTGTAGCGCTCTTAATAATTTGCAGACAGAGAAAGAAAGTGGTTCTTTAGATGTTGCCCTGTGTGAAACTCCGCTACCTGATGTATCAATAAATGTGAAAAGCTGAAGGCCTTAAGAAATTAGCCGTAGTAGATACCAGCTACCAACTATGTGTGACTGGCTAACTTTAAACTCTTGGCCTTGTCATTACAGCTAATGAGCCCCCTGGAGGACTACCACCCACAAGCTTAAAGCTAATCAAAGCAATCACTAAGTGAGATGGAGACACAGGAAAAACTGTGTGAAGTACTACACCACACAGAACCCCAACATTACTACTTACTCACTTCTATTATCCCCACTTCCACAACCATACCACCAAACGCTATGATATGCACCACACAGAATTCTTAAAGTGAATAATCTACTGCAACAAAGTAAAGTCTGTAATACCTTTTCATCCCCTGTGAGCTTACATCTGTCTTAGTACATTATGTAGAACTAAAGAGAAACCAAAAAGAAAATCCTTCATGACTGCAACAACAAAGACACTTCAGAAAAGAGGCAAAGGAGAAAGTTGTAGGAAGAGGACAACTGCTTCAGCAACTCAGATTCAATAACAGCCTTGTTGACTCATAAGAACAAATCCAATCCCATTAGGGAGCCTATGCAGGCAATAATGAATGTTGGGACCCGCCACCTGATGCTAGAGGACAGAATTGATCCCCTCTAAGGCCGGCTAAGGCGAGGAACTTTAATTGCCTCATCAGCATGGCTGTCAGTTCAAGCAGGTCTACCAAGATAGCAAATGGTGCAAAGGTAAAACAGCATAAATCTGTGAATGCAAATCTGTGAAACTTAATGAGTGGGCAAAAGGGCAGCACACGAGGATGTGTCATTTCAAGCCCTGGGTGCGTTTTCCACCTTTGATGTAATTTTGGAGTCTTGTGTTCCAGGTGTTTTAAACATGATCCCAAGAAAGCAAAAGGATGACAGAAATGCACAGTGTAACCCGATACTACCGCTGCAAATGTTAAAGTATTTATCTTTTGTTGAGAATGTTATAGAAAGGTGGTGATTGAAGCCTCAAATAATGTTTGGAGCCATAGTTTATGGTGCGATTTGATTGCATGTGAAGAAAATGCTCTCACCTGTCTGAGGTTAGCGGGACTTAGCCTCGAGGCGTAACCCGGCACAACCGAACTCATAAAAATCCTTCCTCTGACCAAAACCTTCCGTTTGACTTAAATTGGTTCCAATAAAAACTTTTTAATGTTTTCTACCTTTGTTGTCATTTTATCAGAGTGTTTTGAGTGCCTGATCTAATGTGTCTGCGAGACTTGCATTGCAACATCATATCTAATCCTCACAAAAGAAGTGAGAAATTAATTGGGAAAGAAAATAAAAGATTCGATGCTACTAATAAGAGAATTATTAGTGCCACTGGGAAATATTTTTACATTGAGTATTGCTTTTGTGTGCAATTGCTCCAAACAGTATGAGAAGAGAATGTTAATGTGTTCATTAAAATTCACAACATGAATGAGTCATTTGTCCAGCGACTATGCCAACTGTAAAGACTGTATGCATTTCATGAATATTTATGTGCATGACTACAGACCTCAGAGACTCATTAGTTTACATTTCCATACATACAGTAATGCATGAAGCATTTCAAGTGAACTGGTTTTCTTTTTTTCCCCTCAAAGGGACAAACTGAGACTTTTCAATTTAAACTGAGTGGGGGTTTTGTTGTTGTTATGTTTTTAGTAATATGCATGTGTCATACAATTTCAACGCATCACTGAAATTCATGATTGCATGTTATGCTAAACCAGTGGTTCCCAAACTTTTTTTGCTAGCCCCCCCTTTGCATTACAAGAAAAATGTTGCCCCCCCCC